AGTTTGTGTGGGAGTGAGTTGTCACTTACACACTACTCTCTGTTCCTTTGGATACATGCCCAGGAGCGGAACTGCTGGATCACAGGGGCTGCCGTTCTCTGCTGTGGCTGTGCTCACAGTGCCCAAGGGTTCCCTTTTCTTTGCCCCCTGCTGACATTTATTACTTTTTGTCTTTTTGATATTGACCATTCTAACAAGCATGAGGTGACATCTCACGTGGTCTTAACTTGCGTTGCCCTGATGGTCAGTGGTTCTGAAGGTTTTGTGTACATGTTGGGCATTTGAATGCTCCTTGTTAGAAATATCTATTTTGAGAAATACCTATTTAGATCCTCCTCTCATTTTTGAATCAAATTACTTGTTTTCTTCCTGTTGAGCTTTTTGGGTTCTGTGTGTGTCTGGGATTCTGATCCCTGTCAGGTGTGGCTTGCAGGTGCGCTCTCCCATTCTGTCCTCCTTTGCTGTTGATTGGGCCCTCTGCTGTGCAGAAGCTTGTCAGTCTGATGGAATTCTGTTCATTTCCACATTTGTTGCCTGTGCTTTTGGGGTTCTATCCAAAAAGTTATTGTCATGGAGCTTTTAATCTATGTTTTCTGCCAGCTATTCTCCACTTTTGGGTCTCACATTTAAGATCTCTAATCTGTTTCCTAAATTATGAAATTAAGAAGACATCTGACACACACCTCTGCAGCTGGGTGTGAGAAATCAAGGTAGGGATGACATAGGAGGCTATGGTCCATTTCTATTGGTGGGGGCACTGTGTCCAGATTTGGCCAAGCAGAGTGGGCTAGGCTTCCCTGAGCTCAGGGCCAGGTACAGAGTAGGCTAGGGTTCCCTGGGCTCAAGGCCAGGTGTACAGTAGGCTAGGGTTCCCTGGGGCTCAGGACCAGGTGCAGAGTGGGCTAGGCTTCCCTGGGGCTCAGGGCCAGGGTAGAGTGGTCTAGGGTTCTCTGGGCTCAGGGCCAGGTGTAGAGTGGGCTAAAGTTCCCTGGGGCTCAGGGCCAGTTGTGGAGTGGGATAGGTTTCCCTGGGGCTCAGAGCCAGGTGCAGAGTGGGCTAGGTTTCCCTGGGGCTCAGGGCCAGATGCCGAATGGGCTAGGGTTCCCTGGGGCTCAGGGCCAGGTGTAGAGTAGGCTAGGCTTCCCTGGGCTCAGGGGCAGATACAGAGTGGGCTAGGGTTCCCTGGATTCAAGGTCCAGGTATACAGTGGGGGCTAGGATTCCCTTGGGTAAGACCGGTACACAGTTTATGGTTCCTGGGCTCAGGTCCAGGTTCATGGTTGGCAAGAGTGTCCTGGGCTAAGGCCAGATTCAGAATGGCTAGGGTTCCCTCATCTCAGGGCCAGATGCAGAGTGGGGTAGGGTTTACTGGGTTCAGAGTTGGGTAGGGTTCAAAGGCCTTGCACAGAGTGGGCTAGGGTGTTTTAAGCTAAGGCTAGGTTTAGAGTGTGCTAAGGTTCCCTGGGTTTTGGGCCAGGTACAGAGTGGGGTAGAGTTCCTCGGGGCTCAGGACCACGTACAGAGTGGGCTAGGGTTTCCGGCCTAAGGCCAGATGTACAGTGGGGTATGATTCCCTGGGCTCAGGGCCAGATGAAGAGTAAGCTAGGGTTCCCTGTTTTCCAGGGCCAGGTGCAGAGTGGGGTAGGGCTCCCTGGTTTCCAGAGCCAGGTACAACGTGGTTAGGGTTCCCTGGGCTCAGGGCCACGTGCAGAGTGGCTAGGGTTCCCTGGGCTCAGGGCCAGGCTGGTGTGTTTTACCTGTTTTCTGGAGGTCTCTTGCTTCCGTAGATCAGTCCCTGAAGATTAAAACTCATGCAAACTTGCCCTCCAGCCTGTGGATACAAATCTGTGGAAACAGGTCTCTGTGATTTGATTTTTAATAATAAAAGTTAGCGATGTTACTATGGAGACAAGGTCTCCACTGGGACCTGCAAGTCCGGCTTCTACCTCTGCTGCATTAGCTCGCAGCTCACGCATACTCTGACAGATCTGGAGTTTCCTTCAGGTTGTGGTGAGCTGTACACTCTGGTGCCTGTCTCTGTCTCTTCACATCAGACACATGCAATCGACCCAGGCTGCTCAGACATGTTCCCACCAAGAGCTTGTGCTCTGAACTTTTGGGACCTTTCACAGGGAAGTGAGTCTTTCTCGCCTCTGAGCAGGGCCTTCCACCTTCCTGATATGAATTTGCTTTGGGGAAAGGAGAGAAAATGGAATTTCAAGTGTACACTGTAGTGCAGGTCTGAGGGCTCTGGCCTCATGCTGTTGCCAAGGAGGAAGGCTAGGATTCCAGGTCACGGGTAGACCTGCAGAGATGAACTCATGCTCCATCCCAAATAGCCAGGTACTTAAGTGAACAGCCCCTTGCAGGTGCAGCCAGTGCAGGATCTCCCATCTCTCGAGCTAGAGCTTGGTATAAGGGGGCGTACTTAACAGAGCTTTGCAAAATACGTTGATTTTACCTCAGAAGCAGAACACAGAAGTCAAACTCAGGTATTGTGAGAGCTCACTTTTATACTGCTGTACTGATTTATCACAAATACTTACTTACCAGTGACACTACATCCCCTGTCCCTGCAGGGGATAGAAGAATTCATGATTAATGACCAACATTCAAACATTTGTCATTTGCACTTAATTGATCTTCCTTCGCTCAGCGAGTGTGAGGACTGTGGAGATGGATGAAAAGATGGTGGGGAAATCCAGTGGCGCCCATGCTGGCCTGCCATGGAGGGGCAGCTGGACCCCTATCTTAGTTCTGAGGTCTGGTGTCCTGTTGGAGACACGTCTGCTGGATCTTGAGGACTGAGAGTGTTAGAAAGCAGGAGAGCATGAGGAAGGCGGTGCAGGGCAGAGGGAGACGGCAGTAGGTGCATTCGCCCAGGGTTCAGCATGGAGGCATGCCCCCACCAGTGTTAAGCTGACTGGGTTTGGTTTGGCCCCTCACAGAGAGAAAATGAGTGGGCCTAGGACAAGCCTGGCATCAATAGGATACATTTAAATAAGGTCACTTGCTGCAGCTTACAGTGTGCCCTGGAGGACAAGGGGAGGAAAAGACTTTTAAAACGTCTCTCCTAGTGCCCCATGATCACACGATAGTGGGGTACATTGACATAATCGTGGCTGCATGCAATGTCACCTGCTCCATTTCAGTCTTCTGTGCTTCCTCTTTCCTCCATCTCCTCACTTCCCTTCCCCTAAGCTCTTCCTTCCATTTATTGTCTACCTTAGTGCTTTACAGCTGGACACAGGCACAATACATTGTGGAGTGTACATGGTGTGCAGAGCATAGGCTGGTCATCTCCTGCCTTGGTTCCTCCCTCCTGGCCCCCTTCCTCTGCTCCACTGACCTCCCCTCTACTTCCAGGGATCTGCCCCCCCCCTTTTCTTCCATTATTCTGCTCTAGCTTCCACATATGAGAGAAAATAAGAAAAAAGCCTTTTAATAACTCAGGAAGAACTTATGCAAGTTTAATTAGTGAAACAGGAGAGTAATGGAGACTAGGAATTGGGTTTGGGAGACAGATGTTAAAGCAGTGGGACGGTGAGACTTGGGGACATGGTTGGGCGTGGAAAGCGAAGTTCCAGAGTTCCAGTCCTGGTTGCTTCTCTGGGCCTGGAGGGAACACGTTGTTAGTTGGTAATTAGCAGTTTTCTCTCAAATAAATGGGAAGAATCACAAGAATCATTATGTTAGAACTAATCATTATGTTAGAACAAATGCTGTGAAAATAATGACCTCAGATCCATCCTGTTGAGACAAAGCCCCTGGCACAGGGGGATCATTACCCTCTTGGCACAGAAGTCCCTGGGGAATGGAGCCATTAAGAAGTCCGCTGTGTGTCTGGGTGGGGCCTCTGAGGAGTGTCTCCTGTGCCCCGCTGAACTGCCGGAGGCCTCCAGGACCCTAGGGATCCCCAGGCATCTGCGTCTGCACAGGAAGGCAGCCTGCAGGAAGTCCCAGAGCCCTGTCTTCCCTCACTTGGCCTTGGAACACAGTTACACCAATGGCAGAGAGTGCTTCCTGGCCCTGGGGAGCAAGGCCATCCTGGGCCCTTCAGGTTAAGGAGCTCCTGGTGGAAACGCCCAGGCTCAGATGCCTCAGACACGCATCTTCCTCATCCCAGAGGGAGAAATGAATTTCAAGTTTAAATTTTTCTGCTACAAAATCTTCCAAATAAGTGCAGAGTCCATGTGTATGTACAGACCTAAGATAAAAATACAGGTGAAAGCAACACTTTCTTTGAGTTGATTTACTTTTTAAGATTTGTCCTGAAGTAAAACTGTAAAAATTTTGGTGTGCAGTTCTATTAATTTTGTAGACACATAGACTTATATAAAGACCATCAAGATCAGGGTGCCCACCCTGAGCGCTCCCTGGTACCCTTTCTATCTACACTCTGCCCCAGCCCTAAACTCTGAATCCGTGTTCATCACTATCATTTTTTCTTGAGGACAGCGCCGCATACGTGTCATCTTGAAGGACCCTTATGAAAGCCACGGCTGACTTTAAAGTTGCCCGTTCAAAGTCAGCAGGCTGCATGGGCCGCCCATTCTGATGGCTGTGCCGGCCGCTCAGGTTTAGTTTGTGCTGAGCAGAATTCCTTTGCATGGGTGGCCTCTGTGTGCCTGTTTCGCTGGTTGAAGGGCATTTGGACTGTGCATGGTCTTGGGTAAGGATAAGTAGAGCTGCTATAAACTCTTAAATACAAGTTTCCTTGGGAACGTATAGGGGCCCTCAGAAGCTGCCAAGTCCTTTCACATGGTGGTGGGTGCATCCCACCTGTGGTGTGTGGCCACCCTGCCGCCAGCTGGCCTTAGCTGCGCAGGAGGTGTGCAGGCCCAGTGCAGGCCCCCTGCAGGCCGTGCCATGCCAACGTTTTCGTGATGATGACTCAGGGCCCCTTTCCATGTGGATTTGTCACCACCACGTCCTTTTCTGTAAGGTGGCCGCTTCCAGTGTTTACTCATTTTTAACGATTTGCTTCTGTTTTCCCTGTAGAGTCGGTGCAATCTTCAGCAAGTCAGGACAGAGTTGATGGGTGGACAGTGGCCTGCGGAAGTCTCACCCCAGCTTTTCACAGGGCCTCTCATGCTCTCCACGGTAACTTTCTTTCTTTCTTTTTTTTTTTTTTTATAATGCAAGCCCTTGCATGGCAATCCAAATTTATTGAACTACTGATGCTAAGTTATACAAAATTGCACCACTTTAATTAAGGCTTTTAGTTTACATTTGGCCACCTCAAAGTAGTTGTAACATTAGGTTGGTCAATTTAAATACTGTGGCTCCCTGTTGGATAGACACACAATCTTTACACCCAAACGTTAATGCATACAAAGCAACAAGGCATTGTTAAATAAAACAGCAATAGTTACTGCAAATTAGGCCTTGTGACCAATTATACATGATTAAAATTACTTCCCACATTCACATCCACAGTACTCGTCCACCATTTAACATCTCAACCAAAACGTTACACATGTGAAACAATCACTAACAGGCAAAAATACTAAACCTGTATATTTGGTATTGCAAATACACATATGCATGAGCAAGCAAGGGATTCACAGTGAGAATCTACAGCTGCAGAAGCCTGAAAATGATTTACAAAAATTGTTAAATCATTAAAAAATTGTTGAAAATATACACTTCTTGTTGTAGACCCCCACTGTACACACAACTACAAACATTGTTCCCTATGTAAACAAAAAAGGGAAACACATAATAAGGAGATTTGAAAAGTCTGGACATTTCCTTCCCAACAGATATTAAAGGCAACGTCTTTAATCTAAGACATCATACTGAAAGGACTATATTTTAAAGACAAGATCACTGTCTCCACAGGTTTTTGAAAAATTAAAAAAAAACTATATAGCTGTGTTAATCAAAGCGCTTATTTTATACAATACAATGATAATGACCTTGGATTTAAAAAAAAATTACAATAAGCTACAAGTATCAAAGAAGCAAAGTTTATCTGGAGTAGTCTATATAGGAGCTCTTTGGACTTTCTTTTATTATGCTAAAATAGTGGTGCTTTCAGGATTTACATTATTGTACTCTCCAATACAAAGTATGGGGTGTGTTAAAGTATACAGTACACCATTTTCATACATGTACAACATTGGTGGATGAAGAATGTCTCTTAGCAGTAATACTGGATGTAGCCTCTGGTTTTACCAGCTGCATACTCTAGGACTATTATATAAGTAAAAATCTCTCTTGTGATACTGAAAAGTGATTAGAATGTGCAAACTGATATAGTAGCTTTCATCCGCCTCTTAAAGGGTACCACTATAGGAAAGTCCATATAAGATGTTGGTAGGTTTAACAAAGTTGGAATGCTGGCACTGTTGAATTGGGCAACAGTTCTTCAGACCTGGCTCAGAGCTACAATGCATTCAATATATTAAAGCAGCTGACACGATGACTTTTTGCGGGCCTTCCCAGGCACTGGAGTTTTTCTGTTAATTTGCCGCACTAGGTCATAAAAGATCTCATTAACATTTATTTTTGATTTTGCAGAAGATTCTAAGAATGCACAGTTGTTCCACTGTCTTGCTAGATTTTGACCTTGTTCCTTTCCTACAACTCTTTCATCTTCCAAGTCACACTTATTACCAACCAGAATCATGGGAACATCATCAGTGTCTTTAACTCGAAGAATCTGTTCTCTCAGATCTTGTAAATCATTAAAGGTGGACTGTGCAGTGATGGAATAAACTAAAGCAAAGCCTTGTCCATTTTTCATGTACAAATCCCTCATTGCTGTAAATTGTTCCGTTCCTGCAGTATCCAAGATTTCAAGCATACATTGTTGTGCATCTACTTCAACTTGCTTTATATAAGAATCTTCTATCGTAGGATCATATTTTTCAACAAAAATTCCTTGAACAAATTGTACAGTCAGAGCAGACTTTCCAACTCCTCCTGAGCCAAGAACGACTAGCTTATATTCACGCATGATGCAAACTTGTCAAAATTGAGTACCTCTCACGCTGTCACCGGGTTCCCGTAGCCAGCGTCACCCCGCGCTCCCTCCGGGTCGCTGCTCTGGGCGCCACAGCGGTCCTGTCGCTGCCGCCACCGCTCCCGCTGGTTTACACTCTCCACGGTAACTTTCAGTAGCACTTGCAATCTGAATGACGTCCCCTGGCTAGCCTCTCCATCGCCCGTTGGCTTATGGTGTGCTAAGAAATCTGCGCCTACCCAGCCTCTAAGTGTTTTTCTTCTGTTTTCTATTAAACTATTTCTATTGATTTTACATTTCATATCAATCGTCCGTGACCCGGTTTGGGTTGATCTTGTAGAAGGGATGAGGTTCAAATGAGGGTTTTTGATAGCATATGGAGGTCCACTGGTTCCAGCAATTTGTCTTTCTTACTGCTAATGCTTAATTCTTGTGAGTTTTTTTTCTTTTTAGAAATCATGTTACAGATGCTCTGATACAAATTTTTCTTTTGAATTTTTTCAACATAGTTCTTAATGACTTAAAAAATTTTATTCATTCACATCAAACATGAACTAAATTCATAAGAATTTTGTCTCAAATAATGGGATTTTCATTCCTCAAGAGAATTCATGAATGAAAAGGAGCTTACAGCAGGGTCTGGGGTTTGGTGTGATTTTTATTTCCAAAAGTAGGCGAGACAGAAGCTTACCTTGTCCACAGTGAAACTTCCTGAGTGCTGTGCTCAGAAGCCAGTCCACACCCACAGAGATCATCCCTATGCTTCTCTGTTCTGCGGTGGGAAGGGGGCATACTGGGTTAATTTGATTGCAATGCTCTATAAACAGGGGCCTTTATTCAGGAAATGCTTCTTGAATCTTAAATATACAAGAACACTAAAAAATGGAATAACTGAGTGTGGTGGCAAAGGGACTCAGAGGAGACTCAAAGGGACTCCAGGAGGAGGATGGGTGTGCCCTGGTTGACCGTAGAGGACATGCTGTGGAGCAGAGACCACGACTGCATGAAGGAGCAGGTGGTGACCGCCTTGTCACCTGGCGAAGGCTGACCCCAGCCCCTTAGCAGGGACACAGTTGTAGGAGACCAGGATCAGGACAGACCCAGGGCAGTGTGTCCAGGCAGGATGGGCTGATGGCAGCCGGCACCTCACATACAATGTGTGATGCGTCAGTGACAGCAATGACCGTGTAGCCCCAGGGACGTGGTCGGTGGGGACAACATCAGGTGAAACTGGCGGTTCCACTGAACCAGGCTTAGGCTGCCATCTGCAAGCACAGCTATGGACGCATCATGACCCATGATGGAGCAGCTTGCAGCTGGCTGTAAAGAGCCATGCTCCACGACCAGAGGGGCATGCATCCATGGCCTCGTGGACATGAAGGAGTCGGACTGCTCACTCCAGTTGTGATGGTCTTTCCTGGGCCCAGAGGCTGACCAGCAGCCAGGGAAAGATGCTGGGTATAGCAGAAGCTGAGGATGGACAGGGTGCTGAGGAGGAAGTATGTGGGCGTGTGGAGTTGAGAGGTCACCAGGAACAGGAAGATGACTCACTAATCCACCTCTTCTGCCCAGTGCCTCGAATCTGTAGGAAGGTGTCAAGTTGGGACTTTGTCTGCAATGAGATGTGGCTATAGCTTTCCGTCTGCAGCACTGAGGTCCATATAACTCTAGAGACCTCTGCAAAATAGAGCTTTTAAAAGATCTGTATTGGTATTTCCAGAACTAAAGTGTCATAAAAAAAAAAAACCAGCTTCTTTTCAGACTCTGCCAGTGATGAGCCCCTTTCTGCTTCCTGATGAAATCTAGAATGTGGGGTGCAGCAGCTTTGGTTAGCAGGATCAGCACCCTCACCTCCACCTCACACTCTGTGCGTCAGTGCTGTCCTTGCTCCGAGCTGCAGAGCTGGATAGGGACCAGGCACAGTGCGTTGCCAGCTACTCACTAACCGTGTGACCAGGAGAATGACAGCTGGGGCTTGACCATGCATCCCTGGTCCTGACCCAGTCATCTTGACCCCACTGCATCCCGTGTCAACAGAGGGCAGCTTGAGGGAGAAGCTAGGATCATTGTGTGGGTGTCATTTTGCAATAAGTTTGCTTCTGATCTGCCTCAACTCTGTAAGAGTGAGCTGAGTATTCTCATTATTAAATAGACATGAACCAAATATTTGGGCAGTGAGCATGGACCTCCCCTAGGATTAACAAAAAGGTATGTTTTCTATGTCAACAATTAAAAGCTGGGTCTGAGGACTCAGTTTCTTACCATACACTCATTTTGGTGTGATAGACACCTGGATGCCAGAGGGGCTAGGATACTAAGACAGAGGTCTGCATGTGTGTCCCTGTGGCTTCCCACAGCTCTGCTGTCCATGGGCAAGATGTGCCCATGTGTGGTCTAATGAGAAAGGGTTGTGGATCCTAAACTCAGAAAAGGAGCCATATGTGATGAATAATGAGACCTAGAGTTTAACAAATAAACACAACTTGGAAGCAACAGATCAATTCCAGGGCTGAAGTAGCAGGGTCTGTCCTGAACACACTGTGTCTGCAGGTCTCATTGTGAGAACAGGCACCTACATGACATTGAAGGTAGCTGCACAGGGACTGGGACATGGCAGCAGGATGCCAGGGACCATGCCCTCCAGGCATGCAGGATGCATCACCTGAGTTCACTGATGCTCAGTCCAGGGCCGGGGCCCGGCATTTAGACAGACGAGGTCATACCCATGCCAGGGTCACGTCGATGGTCTGTATGGAACCAGGGAGAGCGAGTAGGAGAGGAGGAACTCTGACATGCACTTACAGAAATGTGCAGGGAGACTCAGAGCCCTCGGGGTGTGAGGGTTCCTCTTGCAGGTGGCCAACAGCTGTTCTTGGAGGCAGTGGCCTTCAGTATACCTGGACTCACCTAACACTTGCCACCCAGCCCACCCTCCTCTGCTAGTCTCGTCGTGGGCCTCGTGCCGCTGATCAACACCAGCCACTCATTCTATTTACCCGCAGCCACCAGGCCTTGCTGAGGGTGTGCCCCAGCCTGACCCTGCCCAGTCAGTTGAGAAGACCATGTCCACTGACAGTGGTAGACCCTGAGGACCTTGTGATGCCAGAGTCCTTTACAGTTTCCACTCCCTTTTGTGACCGATGGACACTTCAGCACTTGTGTCTAGCCTTACTGTGGTGCCAGGGCCTTGTGGCCCCACCCGCATGCGGCAGTGCCTACTAACAGCTTGCCAAAGGCTCAGCGGTCCTCATCTCCCACACCCTCACCATCTCCCTGGCCCTCCGCTGCCTGGTCTGGTGACCTGACCTCCATCTGGCTCAGAGTCTGATACACTGGCTCTGTGGGCTTGGCCATGGCACATTTCACACGTGCCAATGGGGCAGAAAATGGGGAGGATGGCTACCTGGGGTCAGATACTCTTGTGAGCTCGGGGGCAGGACAGTGATGTCAAGGAAGGGGACCTAGAGCTCTCCAGAGGGGCCCTGGTTTCCCATGGCACCCATTACAGCAGCCCAAGGGGCCCAATCAAGGTGACCTGTGTGTGAGGCACAGAGCATGGGCAGTGGAGCTGGAGGGGCTACCAGTATAGGGCTCAGCTATAAGAGAAGGGAAGCTGACATACGGCCCAACATGGGAAAGCCTTGGAATGTGCAAAATGAGAGAATCCAGACAGGAAGCCCACAGATTTTATGGTTCCCTTAACATGGAACTTCGAACTGAGGCAAATCCAAACACAACAAAGCAGGTTCCTGGTTGCCAGGGGCTGGGGGCTTGGCAGAGGCAGGGGAGGCACCAACAGGTAGAGGTTTGCTGCTTGCAGTAATAAAAGGGTCTGGAACGACGTAGCACTGAGGGTTGTACACTATTTTGAATTGACCTACTGCTACACTTTAAAATGTCTGCATCTGTGGTGTATATTATCACAATACAAATAAACTCACACTAGCAAGAAATATGCTGCCTCATAAGCAGGGGTAGACAAATAATGAAATGACTAATAAAGAAAAAGAGTCTACTACAGCCTCTGCCAAAATCAGTGTAAGAGATAACTATGTCAGACTTCCCCCAACACCGCTCACATCGCCACATGCAGACTCATTCCTGGCTCTGCAAGCAATGCTCCAGTGAGGGCAGTCAAAAACAAACCCCAGTGTTCATAAAAGAAGCACACCTGTGCCCTCACTGCAGAGAGTGTAATTGTCCACAGGGAACAGTCCCTGAGTGTCCCTCCTGCACTCCACTCCCTGGAGCACCCCTGCAGCAGCCTCCTCTCCTCTTGAAAGCTCCAGGGATGAAAAACAGGCTCAGGACGTGCAAGACTGTGCATCAGTTTGTTCCTGGGGTCCCCTGCATTTCCCCTTTGGAGCATGGCAGGCTGTCCTCCCTCCATGGGCTATTCTTTTCTTAGCAAAGCTGGGGTATGTTTTCAGTTCCAAGGCATCTGATCTAAGACTTAAGAAGGCGTCCCTAGATATTCACTGGGTAGAGCCGGGCACAGTGCCCCACTGAGCTGGCTTCCCAGAGCTGGGATGGTGAGGTCCCAGGGCTGATCTGCCTCTCCTGATCCCACATGCTCTGAATGCATGGGCATTACCAGTTCCCAAGGTTGTCTCCCTTCCTCCATGTCCCCTGCAGGAAGCAGAAGGTGGCTGCTGGCTCACCCTCCTGAGTGACCTTGGGTTTGCTCCTCTCTCGTCGGGGACAAGGGGACTGGGTCCCAGGCTTCCTGGTAAGTCCAGTGCAGGCTGAGGGGCACGGATCACTGAAATGCTCTGCTTTCCTCCTCCATGGCCAGGGTGTTTAGCGGTCGTCCACACACTGGGGCCACATGGGGCTGCATGGTGAGCTCAGGCCAATGAGGACTCAAGGCTCTTCTCAGGGTCACTGGGCCACCACTCTCTGATGACATGGCATGGAGGAGGGAAGCTGGTGAGGTGCAGAGTGAGGGCTGCTGACTGTGTCACTGGGGACTGGAGCTGAACGTGGCAGCAGGGTTCACTGTGACAGGATCGTACCCGCGTGGGACAGAACTGGCTGCCTTCAGGGCCAGTGCCCCTCACTCCCTCACCTTCCCCCTGCCCTGCTGGTCTTCCTCCACTGACTCAGGGCTTCTGACTGGGCTGTGTGTGCCTCAGCTGGGTCCCTGGCT